CATGAAACCAGTCACTTTGTAGGTAGATCCTGCCCTCCTGCCCCTGGAGCTCTGCTCCGCCAACCTGTGTTTTTCTTGTAGCAACACCCTGTATTGGTCCTGCTTCTCGCACCTCCTCCTTTCTCTAGCGAGCAGGTTGTGTTTTCAGGGCTTATTCAGCAGTGCCCCACGCAGGCTTGTGCAGCCATTCGAGACGCCCACTGTCTGGAGGGGACACACGGTGACGTACCAAGAGCATATGCAGCATAAGGTCTCCCAACTCTTTACTTCAAAGTAATCCAACTGTTTAGTTCTGTTACTTTGACAAGTGAGAGTAACAGTTGGTAATCTCTGCTGCACTGTTAGTCTCAATTGTTTATCTGTTGTCTTATTACACATACTTTTTGATTCAAAATGCCAATTGTTCCTTCTATAAAATGTACACTTCCTATGGAATTGCAGTCTTTACCATTGTAGAAAAGCAAATATGCCTAGTTTCTTTACTTTTTTTTTTTATGCCTGTGAAGAAAGGGCGTGTTGGAACTTTTTTACCTTGTTTGGTTCCTGAGAGCCTTAGCCCCCTGCTTGGGAGGGCCACATGCAAGCGGGGAACATGGTCCAACTGCTGTGACCCGGATCGTGCTGTTCTCCTCTGCCTCCTGCTGATTAATGACCCCTCTGTTTGTTTGGGAACTGAACACTTGCATTTTCAAACCATGTAGAACAACGGCCAGGGCAGACCTACAGACCTGGGTCAGTGTCTGCTTTAACTTCAGTCAGGATAAGTGAGTCCTGGACCGCCTCATTTGTGCGGGATGCTCTGCTCACTCTGCAGCTATCCATAGAGAGCCTCACTCCAGCATTACCCACTCCTTCAAATACATAATTCTGTGTCCAAAAACCCCTTGGAGCATGGGGTGTTAGACCTCTCCTGCTTAGTCCCTGCTAAGTTTTCCATAGTACCTTCCAGAGTGCCCCAGATTTGTTTATTTGTTTTGTTCTGCTACAGTCTTGTTTTGATGCTGTGTTGTGGATTGATTTCAAGGGGTTTTTTTAGTGTGGTGAGTGGCAGCAGGAGGGTTTTCCCAGCTCCTGCCGAGAACGTGATTAGAATCCCTGCGTCCTGCTGTCTGTTGTGGCACCTCCTAGGGTGGACCGTATGTCTTGGAGGGAGGAGCTGCCTGCTGCTTGTGTGTTATGTAAAATAATAAATAATTTATAGCACAGGCTGGAAAGGTTCGTCAAGATGGACAAACATGTGCATTGAAGCACTTAACCGGGCATTGAATCGAGACATAATCAGAAGAATTCTTGGAGATATGAGAGATTTTTTTTTAAGTGGGAGAGCTTTCCCATGAGCCCGTGCTTTACTCCAGAGTATTACTGACCCACTTCAGGATATCCTTAACTGGCGGCTCAGTGTGCGCTGCAATGGAGATCTGCAATATGATGCTGCAAACACTCTCGCTGTTTTACTGAGAGCAGCTTTCCTGAGGGCCCGCCTTGCTGCTGATACCAGCCCCTGCTCCAGCGAAGCATCCCATGAAGCCCATGGATCGTGAGGCTCTTTGCTCTCATCTGTCGTAGTGGAAAAGCCTTTTGAAAGGATTAAGGGATTTGGTGCAGCAGCGTAGAAGCTGAAGGTGTTGCAGCGCGCTCCCCGCGCGGCCCCGAGCGCAGCCCTGAGGCGACCGCATCCGCATGGGATCCCAAGGACCTGCACCCGGCCGACGGGCATGGCGGTCGGCACTAGCGCTTAAGGCTTTGGGCTGGCGCCGCTTCCGAGCTTCCCTTTCCAGCAGCGACCACCCGCCGGCTTCCATCACACGGACCCTACCCTCTTTTCCAGCTTGAGCCCCGCGCCTCTCCAAGCCCCATGAAGGGCAGCAGCTGCTGCCAGCCCTCCTCGTCCGAGAGCAGCTGCGCGTTCCTGCGGCCGCCGATGCTGTGCGCGGCGCGACGCAAGCGCGGCGCCGACCTGCCCTGGCTGAGCTGCTGCGCTAGCGCCATGGTGGGGCCAGGCTTGGCACGGGCATGTGGGGCTTACAGCAGCGCTCCGCCTTTGCCCCTCCTCCTTGATCCATGGGGATTCTTCATCTAACTTTATTTTGTTTTTCTCCTCCTGCTGCTTGTTAAAGCACAGTCCTGTGTGAGGCACTTTGAGCATGGTCTGCACGTTTGCATGCTTGAGAGTCACCCTGTGTGCTGCTCGCTCTGTCACGCTTGCTGCTTAGTTACAAATAGTTAACATTGCCTCAATGCTTTTTGGTGTAGCAGCTTCTCTGTTGATTTTTGCAAGCTGATAGGTCACTGCCTCGAGCAATTTTGAATCATGGAAAACCTATTTCACAGAACTGTTAATCACAAACACAAGTGAATGCATGTACTGCTAAAAAGGTATCTCTTAAAAATTTAAATATAGGTAGAAGGCTCTTTTTTCTGAATTAAGTAATTGTGTAAGGTTAATATTGGAAGAAATGGATGAAACGCAGAATGTAATTCATAAGGCATTCTATTTCTAATGAAGACTGCCTGTTGCTCAGATATGACTGTGAATATTCAAAAATATGTCCATTCAAAAACCTTGTTAAGTTTAGATCTAGACTTTGAATAGTCATGTCCTGCTCATGTACTATGATAGGAGAAGAGAAGGAAAAACAAAGAAAAAAAACCAATCAGGAGATAGTTATATACAGTTATAGATATGTGAAATGCTTACACCTTAACACCATGGTTATTTTGACTGCTATTTAAAATTATCTGCTCGTGAAATCATGAGCTAGCTCATGAGTCTAGCTCATCCAACTCATGCAGAAAACATAAGGGGATTCTTCCTAAATGACTGTAGTAAAGCCACATTCAGTGACTTCTGAATATTTATAGCATATGATGAAGTAAACACTGGCAAGCCCAATAAACAGTTCATTCTTGTTTAGACTTCAACTTAGAAGTCTAAACTGGCAGAAACATTTTATGATGCTCCTAGGCTTTAAAACATTTCTAAATGTTTTCTTGATACTGATGTTCAAAATCACTTTTTGAAGAAAAATACCGGTATCATGTGCCTGAAGTTCTTAATTGCCCATTTAATCCTCATATATACTTGGCTTTCATTTTCCAGGCCTTTGAAGGTCTTCAGTTCAAAACACGGTCCAGTATCCCAATATGGTACAAAGTTATGCTGCTTAGTAATTGAACTGACAATCCAAAAGACACCTGTATTCACTGTGAATATTTTTCCAAAATATCTCTTCCAATATGTATAATGCAGTAATACAGGTTCTAAAAGAAAAATTTAGCATCCTTGTGGCTGCACTGTGACAGTTTGGAACATAATTTATAGTAGAAACCAGTAAATGTGTCTACAGGAGTATAACTTAATAAGGAAACTGCCTCTTGCATTTAATTTACCCTATGCTGCCAGTAAACTGAAGTTTCATTTTTTCCCGTTTGAAATGAGTTTTGCTTCTATATTTTTTTGTTGAAATAAGCCATGAAACTGACATGACTAGTTCCATTTTTTTGAAAAAAGACTTTTCTAAATTTATCCTATGTATTTTGCAAAATAATCACTTTGCCTTCTTCCTCCAAGACTTGAAATACCTTTAACCACATTTCTGTTTCTTTATTGTGTTCACGTTTGCAACTTCTACTTTTGATTTCCATGCTGTTCTTTAAAGACACTCAAGACATTGTTTGCTCAGCATTTTCTTCTGCCTCAGTCTTCAGGCCAGAGAGAAACAGAGTTTTTGCTCCTCCTTGCTTGTTTCTGCTCTATAATCTCATTCATTCTTATTCATTCAGGTATCATGTGGAATATTTCAGGACTCCTGTGATTCTTTTCGGTCACATCTTTGCTTCTTCAATGTTGTGTTTCTGTACTGCTTTTTTATAGCCAAACATACATATTGCCCCACGTGCCCCAGCATTGTCCAAGTAGTCCTGCTTCAGCCGGCGCTTGAAACAACTGGTTTTCTCCTTTCTTCTTGCTATTAATACTTTCCAAGTTCTTTTGCATCTTATTTTTTTTTTCAGGACTTTTCTATATCTGAACCCTATGCTGCTTCCAGTTTTTCCAGAAGTTCAAAGGCTAGAATTTAATTGGTGCTTTTTCCTTTTTCCATACCAATCAGTATCTCCTTTTTTTGGAATTTCTCTGTTACTACAGAATTTTATTCCTATTAAAGGTCTTCACAATGCTATCCCTGACTACTTGACACAACTCATGTTAACAGAATGTCAGAGATGGTTCACAACGCTGCTCTTTGCATTCTCTTCCAGAGCTTTTTTTTCTTGCCTCTGCATAAACCAATCATATTAACCTCTAGGGAAACCTTTTTCTTCCAGTTCCTAAATATCCATTTATGTGATTTCATTTACAGAAAAAAATTATCAAACACTATTTTTAAAACTTTTTGGTACTATTTTAATAGTGAGATATATTTTTGATGTCTGTATAATTGCTTTAAGAATTAAACATTGCTTTGTGTAGTTTTATAGACTCTTCGTTATCAAAACAATTCAAGTTTAGTACAGACAGTGTTGAAGTCTGGAAACAGACTTCTTTGCTGCTCTTAAAGTGCTGCAATGATGTGGCAAAATTTGAATGACAGAAGGGTTGCCTCTGGCTATTTTGTTTCAAACTGGAATGATATTAATCCTTTGATTAGTTATAGAGGGCTGTAGTTCCTTGGGATGCCCGGTAAAATTATCCTTTAGCTGTCCATAATCCCTCTAAACTATCTTTTTTTAAGGCTTTATTTGTTGCTTCCTCCTTTAGGGAGGGCATAGTAGATTGTGGATAAGCATTTTCTCCAGTTCATTACAGTATCGAAAAGTGTGGGTTCATAGTAACTTTAGAGGTGCTACATGAACAATAGTTTTAAATTTGCAATGCTAAGTCCCTGACACTTCCTGGAAGGAATGCCTCTGTTTTAGAGGAAATGCCATTAATCCTGTTTTCATGATTTCTCTCATAAAAGCCTAGCATTCTAGTTTGGTATTTTTGGATTTTATTTTAGACCGAGTCCGGCTATGGATCAGAGTCAAGTTTACGACGACATGGATCCATGGTTTCTCTTGTTTCTGGAGCAAGTGGGTACTCCGCAACATCCACCTCTTCGTTCAAGGTTAGTGACTAATATTTTCATAGTATTGATGTGTAAATAAGATATTTACGTAGCTAAAAAGGAAATAAAATGTGTGAAGACTTGCAGTTATCAAAATATGAAACCAGTAAACCAGACCTTTGATTTACTGTAAATGTTAGTAATTCAGCATGTGATGTTGGACAGGTGATACAAGAAGCTTTCACATGCCTTTGCAGTTGTGCCTTTTAAACTGGTGTCACTTCCAATGGCAAGAAAATCAAGCCTGTGGGAGGAATTAACCTACTGTGTTCCTGCAAATAGCAGGGCTTATGACTGAAAGAGTGCTGATTCCTTGACTCAACAAATGTGATTAATACTAGCTGTCGAATGATGGCTCTCCTTTGTTTCAGTGCATATAAATATTTAACACTTGAGCTCGGGCAGGCTGTACTTCTGGCAAATGAGCAGTGGAGAAGCAGTGCAAAAAGGAGGAAAATATTGGTCTCTGTAACAAAGATCTTAGGCTGGAGCTGACTGCTTTTAGATAAACTGGTATAAATGTGATAGCCTGCAGGATCTCTGCCAGCTTTTGTATCATCTCTGAAGTAGCAGATGCAGTTAGGAGGGAAAAAATAAGACCAGTGGACAAAATGAGTACACTTGTATTCACTTTTGTACGTTTTTAATGCTAATTGAATGCTGATAGTATTTCAAAGCTTTAGTGTATCTGAAGAACTTGTTCCTCACAGTTGGGGAAAAGCTACACTTTTTAATTTTTTACTTAGGCATCAAACTAATTATATAGAAGCATATATAGAATGCTAATTATATAGAAGCATTCATGGCTCCCATTTTCTTGTATTTTCAGAAGGGTCATAGCTTACGTGAGAAGCTTGCAGAAATGGAAACCTTCAGAGACATCTTGTGTAGACAAGTTGATACTTTGCAGAAATATTTTGATGCTTGTGCAGACGCAGTTTCCAAAGATGAACTCCAGAGGGATAAAGGTAAAAGTCTGATTGAAAAATACTAACTCTGTAGAATCTTAACTTGTTACCCAGTAAACAATAGCCATTGAGATAGTATGATCTCATGTACAGATAAGTACCTTCAACTTACTACTTAGCAAAATAAGCAGCCAGAGGTATTTCCACAGCAACAGAGGTAGCTGCTTTCATTTTAGAAGTTGAATTTCCATGAACATCTGCTTACTAAACTATTGTTGCCAGCCTTACTGAAATGATATTCTTTTAACCACTTGATTTTACCGAAGGGTACCTGCTTAAACCCAAAAAATGAACAGAAGTTAGTTCACTGCTGTACCTCTTGCTGTTTTTGTGACAAACCAATAGGATATATTAATCACTAGGATGCATTCTTTCATAAGGCCAAACCTCCTGGGCTGTGTAGTACACTAGCTCCAATCAATGCAGCTGCACCTGTTTGAAATCCTTACAGACTTCATAGAGGATGCCCGTGTTTCTCTTTTTTCTTCCTTCCTCAGAACACAGCTTGTTGTCATATTTGTGTATTCTCCCGACGCATTTCTATTCATCTGTCAGTTTGCACTGGCAGTTAAGCAGATAATAAGTACAATTCTACTTTTTTTCCCAAACTCTACAGAAGAAGAGCAGATAGCTGATGAATTATGGCTCCTTGCTTATCCAGTTAGAACTCTGAGATACCTTGTCTTGACCCTGAGGGCTGATTTCAGATATGGAGTAAATATTAAAGTCCTTATGGCTCCTGACCAGAATATTGATAGTGGCTTCAGAAATAAATACAGGGTGTCAGTAACTGTAAATTGTAAAAATTGCTTGAAATGCTCCTAAGCTGTGAAGATGCTTGTAGTTTTTCTTGCTTACTAGAGAATTTAGTAAAAGGTTTTCTCTTTCCTGACGTTAATTTCCTCTTAAAATTAGTGGTAGAAGATGATGAAGATGACTTTCCTACAGTGCGTTCTGATGGGGATTTTTTACATAACAGTAACAGCAGTAAGGAAAAACGTAAGTATGTCTGAACTCTATTCTTGCTAGAAACTGAGTAGCATAATTAACCTGTTGGAGCAGGCTGGGAATTGTGCAGTTTTCTAAGGAGAAAACTACAAGAATAGTTTTATTTACAGGAACTCTTAACCTCCATTAAAGCCATTGCTCATTAGTTGCTTTCTGTGATTCTTTGAGCTATTTTGTATATAACGCAGAAATGTTAATAGTGCAGCCTTGTCTGACTTAGTATCCTCTGTCCAAAGCCATGTCTATATGATCAGCTCTTAAAGTTGTATTGATCAGGTATTGCACTTGGTGTGCAATTCAAGTTTGGAATAAATCCTTCATGCCTCTTATCAGCACAGATAAGCTTGTAAAACTCACCTGTAAACAAGTCACACATCCATTGATCCTACTTTATATAAAAGCCTTCATTTTGAGGAGTACTGAGTTGTCAGAGCAAAGTTCAGAAAGTTGATAAAGCTTTTTTCTAAAAATGTTAAGGGGAATTTAATTTCATAGCATGATTCATTTTGAAAGAAATGTCTTTGTCAAGACTAATTTTTGTAGGATGATGTAGGAGTTTCAGCTTAATTTGTCATTAGAACTTTCCTTCATATTTGCATTCTTCTGGTGTATCTGCTATATATAAATTTGTTATGTGAAGTGTTATTAGGAAAGTCTTTTTGTACATCTGGTCATCTTAGAACACTTAACGTGGATTCTTCTGCTTTCTTCAGGTTTTTTGAGTATTCAACAGGAATTTGAGGTGACAGTCCTCATGTGAAAAGTTTGAATTTGGACTCTGAAAACATCTGTGTTAAGAAATTGCAATATGCTCTGGATTCCTTAATATATAATTATGTATTACAGCTCATTGTTCAAAATGACCACTGCAAGCCTTGGCTGATTTTACAATCTCAGTTTTCATGATTCCTGATTTCATGTTTTTTAACAAAAATGATTTGACCAAAGGGAAGAGAGACTAATATCCATTTTAGTTTTTCTGTGCTCCAGTTTCTAATTTTTAGGTAAAGAATTAAAGCTGAGTTAAGCTGCAGTTCCTAACTGGAGATTGGCAGTTAGAATTCCTCGTCTGTAGCAGAATCCTCGATCTTGAGTCGTGTGATGGGAGAAATAGGTTCCTCAGGATGACTGTCCAAAAGATATGTATATTTGGGAAGAATAATATTCAGACTAACAGATAATAGAATTTGTCTTAAAATGCAGCCTTTCCTGAAGCTTGTCTTCAGAGGAGGGGTTAAAATTTCTCAGTTTCTGAGGTTTCAGGTTCCTTTCTCCAATAGATCTCCAATCTTGGAAGAACTGGATCATTTTGTAGCTGAGAATGGCTAGCTGTCCAGGCTGAAGCCTCTTTAAGCAGCCTTTTGGAGGATAGATGTTTTTGTACTAGAATTACAAAGCTGAAGATCTTCCAGAAAGTGAAGGAGAACAACTAGACATAAAACATAGTGAAATATATGGTGTTTTTTGTGTTCTGAAGGGAGGGAGAGTAGTTACCGGCATATTGCTGAAGTAATGAGGTGGTGGGGAGAAGATAAATCGTATTGATTCCAGGGCTGTCCATACAAGGTAAACAATTCAGGCACCAATTAAAAAAATGAGTATTTATCCAGCTGTTCCTTTTCACTTAGAATTGGCTTGGTGATGTAAAATGTGAAGTTAATGAATTGATTTATTATCTGTAAAAAATTGTATTGGTGGAGAAACAATATAAAACCTATCGATCAAACATATTATTTGTCCTAACAAATAATATTGATATTTCTAACACTTGGAAAAGTGTTAGAAGCATCACAGGAAGAAGATCTATTCAATAGGTAATGATATAGAAGAGAAGGGCTAAGAGCTGCTGAAGAAGGCAGAAACATGCCATGCAAAACATCTGTTGCTATGAAAGGAGAATGAAAGCAATTCAGAAATGAGGCAAAATGCCTAATAAGCAAGGGAGCACCTTCTTGGCATGCAGAGAGGGCTTGAGCACTGTCATCTCCCCAGAGCACCATGAACACCGGTTGCCTTTGGGGTAGGCATGCACCTTGGCCTTTCAGAGTCACCCCTGAATTCCCTATGGTGGTTTCAGATAAGCTGTGTATGAGTGTGATCGTTGATCTTACTCTGGAGGGGCTGGGAGGCAGACTAGCCTCAGTTGTTTGCAGGTTGCCCTACAGTGCAGTTGTTTGGCAGGTTGCCCTAAAGCCTGCAGCCTTTACTACCTAGTTAAAAACCAGCCCGTTTTTAAAGGCCGTGTCGAGTTCTGGGCAATGGTGTTCTGGGTAACAGTGTTTCTTGTTCTTGACAAGACATATCGGAGGGAAAGCTGCCTTGTGGTCTTTCACATGTGTTCCTCTCCAATGACTACATATGTGGTTGTAAATAAATATGTACAGCGAGGTTCTTCAAATATGGTATAAAGTGTTTTGTATCTAACATGAAATAGCTTATTATTTTGAAGTTTAAGACCAGACTGTGGAATTGAAAACATTTTGTGCTTGTGATGGTTCATTGCTTTACATTAACTGGGAGAGTTGCTTCTCAAGTTGTAGCTGAGGTCCAAAAATGTGGAGGAAAAGCAGACTGATTTCTTTTCCCAAGAAAATGATTGTATTGCTACATCCATCTTGCAGTCCATTAAACAGTTTTATGAAATAATTTTGCAGCCAGTAGTAGTTTCTTCAGCATATTTAGCACTTTATATTCCTAAAAGAAAAAAGTTAATCACCCCTATAAGCAGCATAGTTGTGCCAGTAAGCACGTGCTCAGCCTACAAGAGGATTTCTTTTGCTGTTACAAGCTGCCTTAAGTAAAGTAGTGTTGTGCAGGTGAAGGTTTTGTTTATCTGACTTAGATTTTTCCCAGTGAATCCACTGCATGGTTCCCTTTCTATCTTATGCTGCTTCCAGTGGGGCCTCTCCGTGTTCCGCCTGTGGCTGCCGGCCAAAAGAGGCCTGACCTGCAGTTTTGTTTCTGGAGCAGATTTTTTTCCTCTTTACATTTCTTCCCAGTTTCCCCCAGCTTCTCTAGCTTTCAAAAATTACTCTTGCTTCACGTGAAATGAAAAATAAGCTGTGTTCTGCCACAGCATACATGCCTTCAAACACCTCAGTACGCAAGCACAGTCATTAGCCATGTGTTTGAAAATTGTTTGATTTCTGGTGAGAGGAGGGTGTGTCTGAAACCTCTGGGGACACACAAAGCCCTTGCTCAGGGCCATGTGACCCCTGCTTTCCATTCCTGTGCTGCCCTTAGAGAACAGCAGTTGCATTTCTGGTGCTTGAAGGGACTGAGCTGCTTCAGAGCTGGAATTCGCCCTTGCAGTCGGATACGAGAGCAACCTGCACAAATATTTATTTGTACTTTCTGAATCGCAGAGCGGTGCCACACTGACAAACTGGCAGAGTAAATAAATAAAAAAGCAAGTTCCTGCCGGGTGGCAAGCACTGAGCTTGCCCCATGGCATAGCAGGAATTGCTTTCGCTTGCCAGGCTCAGGCAGCTGCAACATGGGTGTTACTTCTGCTTTCTAATATTTATGACATTAATGTGTTCTATTTTATTTGTTATTCTGTCAACCTACATATGAGTTTGACATATAATAGGTACTTTTTTTGTCACATGTTTTAAGTCATTTGTTTAAATAGCCTTAGCAACAGATGGCTTGCTTGACAGCATGAAGTAGTTGTTGGAGCTGCAAAGCCCACAGTACTTGGATAATTCAACACATTTGATACAACTTTCCTTACACACATACATTTTAGACGTTAATCTATAATTACTTAAAACAACCTTGACTATTACATTTTGGGTTTGATTGCATTTTGAAATTGTTGCTTGCTTAGTATTGTATCAGATATGTTTTAAGGTTGCTCTGGCTTAATTAGGCCTCACTTCAAGCTGTCAAACTGCTATTGTTAAAGTATTACCACTCCCTCCACCCACATGATCTGCAGAGTGCAGAGTAATACAGCATTGCAAGCAGGCTTGGAATACAGTATATGCTGCAAGATGAAGCTTAGGGGATGCATTTCTCTTCTGGAATCTTTTCCCTTGTCGTGTGGCTGAAAAATTGATAGTAATTTTTATTTTTAAATATTTAGCCAGTGTGATATTTTCTTTAAACGTTTTAAACATTTTTGCATGTGTGCTTTATGTTAATCTGAGTTAAAGGTTGATAACAGTGAATGATTCATATTTGTTTTTAGTGTTTCCGCATGTGACACCCAAAGGAATTAATGGCATAGACTTTAAAGGAGAAGCTATAACTTTCAAGGCAACTACTGCTGGAATCCTTGCTACACTCTCCCATTGTATTGAACTCATGGTAAAACGTGAAGAAAGCTGGCAAAAACGACTAGATAAGGTAAGATTGTCTTCCTTTCACTTTTGCTGAAAAATTCTTTAGCTTGACATTTGAGTTGCTCTGAAATCTTTCTACTCCAAGTATTACTTTCATTGGTATGTACTGTATTTATTTTAGGTACTGTTATTTATTTGTATAAAATGAAAAATAAAGCTTCATTGTGGCTGTCGGTGATAGTGACATTCATTATTTTTTCTTTTCCCTTGTGCAGATGGGCAGTATTCTTATGTCTTTTTATATCTATAAAGAACCTGACAGTATTCCATAGTAAACAGCATAATGCTTGCAGCTTTCTGAGAGAGACTTAGCTCTCAAGCTTGCAAAGTGATACACAAATTCCTGAAGTGGTTTGGACTTGAGATGGTGACAATAATCAGAAACAATTGTTTACCTTTTAAGGTCTTTTTAAAATAAAACATCTTTCACTTGACTTTCTCAAAACTAGTAAACGTACATTAAAGAGTTAGTGTTTTGGGTGTGTGGCTTTGTATTCCCTGCTCTCGCAGCAGTGGTGGTTCACACTAAGCTTACTCAACCAGTGAGCTCTAAAGGGGCAGTGTTTTCTCTCTCCAGGTGAGAAAGTTGGGAGCATGGCAAGGCTGCCCTGCAGGCTTTGGCTTTGAGCATCCTGCTGGCACTGACTGGTATTCTAGGGAGTCCTTTAGATGCTTTTATCTCCTATATTTTTGATTTAACGTGTTTCTACATGGTGTATATCAAGTCTCAGCTCTTACTGCATGTGTTAATGACACACAAAATTGAAAGAATGAAGGCAGTTGAGGAAAAATATATCCGCATTTGAATTCTTGGCCCTGTTTCCTGACTATTCTTTTTCTTTGTCAGTGTATCAAAGTCTTGGTCTAGTCTATCTAGTTATATCAGGTCTATCTAGTTATATTCTTATTTCTGTCGTTACTAAATCTTTCACTGCTGTGTCTAGTGGTTGGGAGAGCAGATCCGAGGCCGAGAAACTTGTTCGCAGGATCTGGAAGGGATCTCAGGAGACCCTGTCAAAGCAGGGACAGCTTCCTGGATCAAGTGATTTTTTTTTTTTTTCCTTGTACATAGTTTTAACATGTTTGTCAGTCTCTGTCACAGATGCTTCATTACCTGTGAACTAACTTTAAAGTACTTGGGCTCAGCTTCAAGAATTTAACATGAACTAAAACCAGAATTTCACTTCAGGTCTCGTGCGAATGTGATAACTCGTACAACAGGAGCAAGTACATTTTAAAGGAGGTCATAAGCTTGTTAGCACTTTTGTAGCAGAAATGCAAGTAGTAAAAGCCTCCCAAAACTTGGATATGTTCAGACCTTCTGCTTTATTAAACTTAGGGAGTCCGGGTTTTATTTGTCAAGGTCGTTTTGGTGTTTGTGGCACACTCGGCCAAGTAATGTAATTCTAATATCACATATTTTTGCTTTTGTACTCCCTTAATTGCTAACCTTTTAGAAGAGATGGCTTTAATAGGGCTTCCAGAAAATCTGAAGACAGAACTTCTTTTAGAGCTCTACTAACATTATTTCACTTCACTTGCAAATATATATTTTTTTTCTTTTAATGGCTGAATGTCTTTAAGGTTGTTGTCTGTGTAACTGAGTCTGAGCAAAGACCATTGCTCTGCCCCCTCATAAACGCAGGTGGAGAAGTGTTGATCTTTGTACTCATGGAGTTTATACTGCTCTGAGAGCAAGTAAATATTGTCAGACATTGCACTTAAGAATGAATTCTGTGAAAGGTGTTAGAAGGAGGAACTTTATGGAAAGGATCAGAAGTCCCAGGGAGCAGTTGCAGTTTGCTTTGTCAGAAGATTCCTTGCTCGGGGTTCACTCTGTGCACACTGGTCACTTAAGTCAGTAGTGTCAGTGGATAAAGTTAATGACAGCTTCAAAGTCTTGCAGGTTGCCTTGTAATGAAGCCCTTTCCCTTTTCTTTCCACTCCAGCTTTCTTGCTGTAGTAATTACAGAAATGCATTTTTTTAATGGTAGAGCAGAACTCATAACCTAGCAAGAGTCCTACTGCCCTCATAGGGGATCTGGGCTGTCCCATATAGTCCATCTTGTAGAGGCTTGAGTTTATCTGCTGAACTTGAAGGCATAATTTCAATGATAGTTCTCCTCTAAAATGTGTCAAATATTAAACAAGCTCAAGTTTAAAAGAACTCGTTGAATCCAGAGGTGACTGAAGCTTGAAATGAGATGGGTACAGCACTATGAAGAATGGATGTCTTTCTCTAGAAAGTCTCTTGTGGTGTTTTTTCTTTTTATTCTTTGTACATAACTTAAAAGCCATTCCTTTTGATCTATCTTGTAAAGGTGGGCCGCTTTTTTTATGAACCTCCGAAAAGAACTGATTGTAGAAGGATCTCTTAATTTTGAAAGAGGGTACTTACATAGTGCACTTGAACTAAATATAAAGTTCTAAAATTACAATCACTCTGTCACGAAAGCAGAGACCAGAATAAAATTAATACAAAAGTGTGTAATTAATCTACTGGTAGCTACAGCTTTGGCTTGGAGCCTTTCTTCCTAGCTGTTAGTTAGGACTAAGTCTGATGGTGAGCCTGAGTGTTTTGTTGCCTGAGTTCAGTGAAATTTTCATTCTAAGTCTCTGCAGTGTATTTTACAGCTAGGGTTTCTTAAATAAGGAAAAGGGATAAAAGGGAAAACATTTCATGTCCAGTATCTGGTCATTGTTAGGTTCATAGCAATATCCTTAGCCTTCAGACTGTAGTTCTTGCTACCTTTGGTCTAACTAATTAATATATGCATATAATTTTTCTGTAAAATAACTATTACCTTAAGATTAACATGTTAGTAAGTCTTTTATTTCTTGTCCAGATATGATACTTCTAACTTGAATGGCTCATTAGATACTCCAGAGTTTTAATATATCAGTAACTTTTCTGCTCTGCAGCCAGGCGTCTGTGTTATTTAACGTGGTTGTCAACAGGAGCTGACAGCTTTGGAGTGAAGAGTTGTCTGTTTACACACACACCTGAGTTTGGAAACTGCCAATCAAAACACAAAAAGTGTGACTTGTGGCAAGTGTTCTGGTGAAACTGGGGTGCTTTTTCTTAATGATTTATCCTCCAGTTGCACCTTATACGTCTTAGGTCTCTCTGGTTAGCTTCAGAACAGGAAAATTTGCAAGTTTTTCTGAAATATGTGAACAGGTATAGCCTGTTTCTTAATACTTAGGGAGGGAAAATTTGTCTTTACAGATAATGGAAATCTTGATTTTGATCTCTAAGACCTGCTTTTTTCTAAGACTGTGCCTGCAGAAAACTGCCCTGTTTTCCAGCACATGACAGTTGTTTTACTTGCCAGTTCTGAAAGGGAAGTTCAAAGTAGGTTCTCCAAAGTGAATGGGACTGCTGAATTCCCAGTGGGAAATGAAGCCTGTTAGGGAGCTTTAAGAACTTTTCACCATTTTTTTTCTATTTGAAACTCATTTGTTGAATAATTGTATTCATATCTGCAAGTATTAAAGTGCAGTGTTGACTTCTCACCTGTGAGACTTGAGGCTTCCTGCAAGTCGTTGTGAAAGGAACAGAAACCTCGCGATGTGAAGCAGAGGAATTACGGAAGCTTTTGTACCTGTTCACTAGGAGCACATGACACTGAATAGAGGTCAAGGAGGAAATCTCAGTCTTTCCAGCATAACTACTGCTTGATTTGCAGTACGTGGTGGCCACAGGCCCTGGTGGCTGTAGTACCATCGCATGCCTGTTAGTGGAGGAGGATGTTGGGTCCTTGGTCCGTGGAGTTCATGAGGTGATTCATGTGGATCCCGTGCAGGCTAAATATAGGTGGAAGCTTACATGCTGTGACTCATGAGCTCATGTTATCCAGCAAGTTATCCAAGACCTTTTTGCAGGTCTTATTCTTCTCTGCGTGGCCAAGCATCTGTGTTGGGGAAGTTGGTCTAGACTGGCAGTTGGATGCAAAATCTGACCATCACCAAACCAGGACTAGATAATATATAAGTTTAAGCTAAATAGTGGTTTTTGCTTGTTGGGTTTTTTCTTCTCCTCATGACTTTAAGTATTCCCAAGGTTGGTAGCTATTAAGTTTTGTATTATCTTTATGTGTATATGTAATACAAACACTTAATCTATGTATGCAAATAAAAGTAGCAAAGCAGGAAATCTAGTAGCCTTGCAAACTTTACTTGGCTTTATTGGTGTAATATTTACTATTACCAGTTAATCATTCTACCTCCCTCAAATGCCTGCGTAATTTTACAGGAAATTGAGAAAAGGAGAAGAATAGAAGAAGCATATAAAAATGCTGTGACAGAACTCAAGAAAAAGTCCCATTTTGGAGGGCCGGACTATGAGGTACGAATTGGGTGTCTGAATATCGAGAACCTTAAGGTTTCTAGAGCTTGGTTTGTTTCTCAGTGATGTGTAAGTTGTGGTGTTTGGTTTGTGGACGTGATGTGTGTTTGTCACTTGGTTTTTTTCTCTGTCTTTGAATTTGAATGAAGAATCTCAGTCCTTAAATCTTTGGAGAATCAAAGGGTCTGTCCTCACCTAGATCCCATTATTCTGCTTAGTCTATAGCATTTTGTATGCAAATATTTCTAGTATTTCTTTATTACACTTAATAGTGATAGTACACAAGCAGCTTTCTTTATTGAAGGGTCATCTGTGCAGAAATAGTCCTAGAATTGAATTCTTTCCTCCATCAAAGTATCTCAAATTTCAGCTGCATAATACAGCTGTAAATTGCAACTGCAAAGCCCTTATCTTTACTGATCTTTTCATGAAATACATGGAGTAGTATATACGGGGGTTGAGTTTGAGAGGAATTAAAGCAGAATTTTCTTGTGTGTCAACACCAACTACACTTGAGTAGAATTCTGAAATAAACACATTTGTAAACCTCTTAGATAGCAATTGCCAAACGAAACTTGATGTTAAGAGACTGAATGTACTGTAACTTCCATAGGTTAAACCTAGTTCATTCTCACTTCTGTCTACCTTTTTTGTGCTTTATAATACAGAATGTTGTTTTTATGACTGGCAATACGAGAGTTGAGAAAGATGTAAAATTTCACTTCATTTCTTCTTAAAAAAGATCTGCCTGAATGCTTGAAGTAGTTGAATTGATTTGCTGCGAAAGTAGAGAGCAGAAAACCTTGCTAACAGCTACATCCTTCTGATACAGCCAGCAACATCTTATGTGAGACAAGGGGTAGTACAGTGTGCAGAAAAACAAGCTTCTGAAAGCTCACATATTAAAAATCTCATGAGGGATATTGTAACTCTGCTCCTAAAGTTCTACATATTTACAGATGAGGCTTTTAGTACAGGGTTGTCTTTTATCTCTTCTTTAGATTTTTTTTTTGGGGGGGGTGGGGGGGGTTGGATTTTTAGAAATGTCTTTACTGGACAAGGAGATTTTTGCTGTGCTTATTCTCTCACTGTTCCAGTCATTGTCCTCTGAAAGCCAACTTGGTAACTTGTGACACATAGAGATCCTGATTCTGAAATGGAGCAGCAGATATGCAGTGTGTTTAATTTCCAAGTGTTTTCATTTTCTGTAGCCTCAGGTTCTAATTTAGTTTTGTGTCCTTTATACCCATTAAATACTTGCTTTTTTAAAAAATATTTTCGAATAGCACCTTCCCAGATATTGACAGCACTGATGTGCTGCTTTCAATTGACTGAATCCCTCCCTCAATCTGAGAGGGATATTACTCTGTAAAGCTACCAAACATTTTTTTGATGTCCTTTTATGTCAAACCTGAGCTTCATTGTTTCAGAAGTTCTCTTGGTCTTGCTGCTCATAGGATACCAAAGGGTCTTGCTAAGATGGCAAGTGTGTGTTCGTTGCTTTTTTGTTTGTTATTTTTTATAAACTCAAAACTTCATTTGAAATTCTCTGGGTTTCATTCCTCTGCAATAGCTGATTGTCCTCCAGATATACTGTGTTTTACTGGAGCTGGAATCTTTTGATATTAATTACTACCCCAGCTGATTGGGTTCCTTGAGTAGTGTTATCTGTGAATTTTCCTTAATTCTCTGCACAACTGCCTAATTAAATTTGTTCTTTACAAGACTGACTATTACAAAGTTAAACATGGAATGGAAACAGCATTGGAATTGCATAGTGTAATTCAAATGTTTAGTGGAAAATGATTTTCAGTCAAGCATTCAGGATTAAGACATAGCAGGCAGGCTATTAAAACCTTGATTAAATCAGTTGGAGGAATTTCAAGTTTAACCTTTGAGAACTAGTGTCAGTATTAACTACAAATTTCTGGTTCTCTCTTTTGTGAAGTACCACTTTTAAGCTGTAGACTTAAGTTGCCGTTTTACATATTAGTCTTGAGTTTTTAGTTAGCAGTTCAGTTGAGTAGTTGCTAACTAAACTTGAGTTTAGTTAGCAGTTGACTCAACTCTGCATGCTATATTAGTGTCAGATGCTCTTCCCCAATAATTCTCAATGAAGAGATTCCTAGGATTTCATCCTGTCGTGTCATGCACGTGTCAGAAATCCAGCTAAGGCATTGGAATATGTGCACAGAAGTCTCATTATACAATTATGTTTACAATGTGACAAAAATGCAAACATGTTAACAGAATATGTATCATGCAAACTCAAATCTGAGAGCAAGGTAAATTGCCGTTGTTCTTCAGTACTCTGTTTCTAGAAACTTTTTTTTGATTGCTAATATAACTATCCTTAAATTACACTTACAGAATAGGAATATCTTTTTAAAACAAGTAAGGCTTTTGTAATCAAAGAATGTTGATGAAAGGACCTTAAGTCTATGGAGAAATGGCCTCCAATCAGTTATATTCTTGATTGATGGATTTGATTTTTTTTAATATTAAACTTAAATACAAGTCATGTCTTCTGAATTTTGAACTCTATTTTTTTCTTATGGTCTAGGAGGGTCCTAATAGTCTGATTAATGAAGAAGAATTTTTCGATGCTGTTGAAGCTGCTCTTGATAGACAAGATAAAATGGAAGAACAGGTACTGATACTTGAAAAATGTGTTCATGGCAGGTATTTCATGCGTGATTTCTATGAAGTTTTCTTGGGTTGCAACTCCTGAGGCTCCAAATGCTTTATACTGTTACTTATACTCACATTTCACTTGATATTTGTATCATTAAATATTTTTGCTTAACATTAATTTTGAGAAAGTGGATTCACCGCTTGTATACAGAAGAAGAGTATAAATATTAACTTATTTGAATGTCTCTGGTTTCTGATTCCTAAATATGAAAGTATATATGAATCCTATATAAAACTTCTTTGAAAGTGATGCAGATAAAAATGTAGAGTACTGCAGATATTTCTTGAAATATAATTATTGCCCTGAACAGCTGACTGCTAGTAACTAAACTCATCTCTCGCCAGTCTCAAAGTGAAAAGGTCAGACTACACTGGCCAGTGTCCTTACCTTCTGGAGATGCATATTCTGCTGTGGGGACTCATAGATTTGTCCAGAAGGTAAGATGCTTAGCTCATTACTCTGAGATGATGGTGACTTACGATATTCCTGTTTTTAATATTTCTGTATGGCTAGGTGAGACTGAATTTGTAGATGTTTCTAGTAACTTTTAATAGGTTACTCATTGTTTTTATTAAACTACCCACGACTGGAGGCAGAATATTTTCTGTCTTGGCTCAGAAATCACTGATCTGAGGAGCTATTTAGAATACTCCTGACTTGTATCAAGCGTCTCAGTTCGAGATTTTAAATAAAAAAGAAAAACCAATGTGCTAACTTGATAGTGCATTTAAGATCCTTTCAACAAAACTTACTGAGCTGAGTAAGCTAGAAAAAAAATGCAGCTGCTTATATCAGAATCAGTGAACATTTTTTAATGTTACTTTTAGTGTTACTGGAAACACTACACTCCTCAAGGCTACGCTGGGAGTATAATACATAATAGGTGCATGAAATCAGCATTTGCTGCTGTGCTTGCTGCTTATGGTGCTTTTGTTTTCCTTTTCTTCATTATCTTGTGCTTGGAAGTTGGTACTGAATGCTCTGTTGTGCCTTTGTTCTGATTACTTGGTTTTTTCTTTGTCTGTCTCTGGTAGCCCTATAGTCGCTCTTCCTCCATGTCTTCCATTGATCTAGTCAGTGCCTCTGATGATGTTCACAGATTCAGCGCCCAGGTACTGTACGAATGCGCAGAGTGGGGGTTGCCTGTCTTTGCTCTATTTCATCCTCTCCTCTAGAACCTGGGTTTTGGTTGCAGAAACCACGCTCGCTTTAACCTAGTACATTGAGACAAACAAAGGAGTTCTCTATTCCTATACTAAATGGTTGTCTTTTTTACATTCTGCTTGCATGCATACCCCTCCTGCAGAGGCCCAGATCTTGTGAGGCTGTTGAACTGATTTCTGTAGCTTGAATAAAAATGCTTTACAAGTTGATTTGCATTTCTGATTATTGTAAAAGTAGAATAGCACCTGTTACATGTGGGATGGAAATAGGTTTCTGACTTGAAATGTGTTTTCCTTGCTTTTAAATCAACCAAAGGTTTGACTTGCTTTTATGCTTTTTTCAGCATTAGTTATAATGACGTTGAGATACTAAATGTTGAGGTTGAGCAATACTGTTTTTACATCTGCAACTAGTGCTGGAAGGTCATTACAGTGAAACTTAGGAGAACTTACTGGAAAGTTTGAATATCTTCTGTTATCTTCCAGAAAGTTAGTGTGACATCCTGAATATGGGAACGTTGTCACTGCCGTTCTGTTAAAGCAGAAACTTGCTCTGAGGATTACAGTGTATAAAGTTGGACTTGGCGAGAGGAGTAACGTGTCTGCTCCTTAGTCTCAAACAGTTGTTCAGCTACGGCATTGGTGCTGCAGGATTCCTTCTGCTGTGGTCTGTGTGGTCTTGTTAAGAAAAAAAAAAAAAAAATGGATTTTGTTCCCAAATTAATAATTTGGTTTTCTTAGGTTGCTTACTGTAAGCCGCTTCTGCTCTTCCAAATAAAAGTAATGGTCTCCCTCTGAATAACAGAGCCTGGAATCGTATCACTATTTGGTTTTGTTGGTTTTACTCTGCTTTGAGCAGAGGCCTAACGTTTAATGACTTGCTGTTTGGACTGAAGTCCCAGCTTTGACCTTGGCCAGCTACCTCTCTAGAATTTTGACTTGCAGCCAGGCAAAGAGGATGCAGGTCATACTGCAAAACAGTGATGCACAGACTGGACTACTAGTACTCAAGTTAGCGTATTGAGTTTTTTTCAGGGGTAGGAAGGTATGTCAAATGAGAGCACCTTTGGTTTCAAAGATGGCAGCTGGATGCCTGGCAGGCTGGCAGGCTGAGTATATGTAGTATATGGCTAGTTTGATTCAAGGGAAACACTGTTCAAATGTACCTTTTTTTTGCGAAATGTGCATTCCATCTTTGCTACTTTCTCATTTATGATAGCATTTCTGTGTGCATATGGTAAATTTGAATATTGGAATACTGATATTAGTGTAAAAACATTCATCAGAAGAGTCTGAAATTGATCAGGGCCTCATCACAAGAATGCAAATTCAGGTTAAAATTAAGGATTAGCGCTGGGCTAGGGTATGGATTCATGCTGTTCCTTCCAGCTCTGCGTGGCTTATACTCAATTAGAGCAACTACCAAGTGCCTTAGGATACATTTCTGAGTTAATAGACTCACTGTAGAGAAGGTGATCTGGCCAATTTATAGCAAGTGGCTCTTGCCTCTTCTCCCAAGCCCAGAATAGGTTCCTCTCAGATGAACAAATGAGTCCACTTGCTCTGGAGCCGCAGGGCTGCAGCGAGACAGCCGGGGTCTGAGGGAGCACCAACAGCCTTGACAAGCTGCTGTGGACCTGATAATGTGAAGCCAACATCCATCCCCAGGCACAGGATTTGGCTTTTCAGAATGCAGATGAATATCAGTTATCTTGATTCTGAATAAATAGGACAGGTTTCTCGACTTTATTTATAGGAAGGGAATTTCAGTATCAGTAGATGATGAAGTAGCAAGTTCATCAGCCTTGCTTTTAAAGCTGAGAAGGGCAAACGTGCTTGAATGCTGAGGCACCCCAGTAGACAAGATGTGCCTCCTGTTCAGGGTGTCTTCCTGAGTGTGCCTTATCCTGACTGACATCAGCCCTCTCCTGAGGTGGGAGATTTCTCTGATCACGTAACCAGCATGGTGACCGCCCACAATGAGCTTCAGAATATTCATTCATACATGGAATGAGTATTAGAGACTTGTTCGTTAGCAGCTAAAGCTTAGATTATTTGTTCCAGAGCAAGCAGTGATAAAGTTCTTGTAGAAGCCGTTGTGTGGCTCGCAGCAGCTCTGTGTGCCTGAATAGTCCAAATAAGTTAGATAGTCTGTGATTTCCTCTGTAGTTCCATGGTTGCTATAGGAGGGTAAGTGTGGTTCAGCTGGTGGTTGGTATCTTCCCACAAGTATTTCTTGTGTGAGAAGATACTAACATGTTGCCACGTACTGTCAGTGTGGACTCTGTGAAGGAGATGACTGTGAAAGTTTGGGGAGTAGTGTAAGAATTTAAGCAGCTCTTTTTGTAAGAGTAACCTTGTTACTTCCAGAAAAAGGTTTTAATCCCAAAGGAATATTCAGAACTCCTTAAGAATTAATCCAGCATACAAATGGACCAGAAATGTGAATGACTTGTGGCTTAGCTTGTTCACTCGCCGTTGAGGAAACGGCATATTAGCAAGGTGCTGCATATTAGTGTTGCTGTGAGGCATTATAGATTCCAAGACACTGTTCATTTGGCTTCACTGCTTATCAGATTAGCTTCAGATGCTTTAGAGCACTCTCTTTAATTCATTAAAAACTTGATATCATGCTTTTGAAATTGTAACCCCTTTCTGCTTTGTCACTTGTTCATTGCTTAAAAGCAGGATAGTCATTTATAATCTTTGTAAAGCCCTTGGAGCTCGTTGTGATTCTTTTGACATCTCTTAGCCCTGGGGAATCCTCAGTAGAAAGGAGATACACTTTTATGTTGCTGGCCATGGCTGGTAATACATTGGGGTTCATCACCCTCTTTAATTGAAGGTCCATCTAGTCTTTTTGATGGAGTGGAGAATAAGTTGGATTTTGCAACGTATCATTTGGGCTGTTTGGGGAAGAAGGTAATTGTGTGGCAGAGGGCAAAAGATCTGCGCTTACCAAGCATTTACTTGGTCTGCTTATGCCAGTGGAAGCTATTCCCTCAGGGAGTCTCCAGAAAGGTATTGATTTATCTTTATCAGTTCAGTGGGAGGCCTGGGTTTAAAATCTGCAGGTGTCTGGGAGACGACTTCATTTAAAGCACTAGCAGTTCTCCAAACAGCTTGAGCTGCAGTGCAGGTCTGCCCACCTAGGGTTGCAGACCAAGCCTTGGTGGCAGGATGCAGCAGATCTGCAGGGGGGGTCTGGAGGAAAGTGCCCGGTGCCAGCAGCAGAGATGGGGAGCGCCCTGACTTGGGGTGCAGGCTGGCTGTTCCCCGGGCACGGGAGCTGCCTGGGCAGGCAACGTGCGGGAGGCAGCGCGGGCACCGCTGCTCCCTGCTCCACGTGCCGCTGGATTAGATTTAGCTCTTAGCTCCTAAATCTTGAAGTATAGATTACAGTGCAGAAATGTAAATTAAGATCAAGCTTTCATCCAATATATTTCACTCTGTTAGAAGATTTTGTTTTGGATGAGAGACTTTTTTTTCCTACTCAGTCTTGTGTTGCCCAGAAGTGTGTAGTGTGAACAATGATTGACTTATATTCAGTGTAAACAGGTTCTCTTAATTCCACATCATATTAGGAAAGGCTGTCAAATGTTTCTTAGCTGTGCTTACTATTTGTACTGCTTGCTCAAGTGATGTTTGAAATGGTGCTTGAATTGGTGTATTCATCTACCAGCTGAACTTAAATACTTTTTGTTAGGAAAACATTTCTAGTAATTCAAGAAACAGTGACAATCAAGTTTATTTGTGAAAAGTTTTCTAGTAGTCACCTATCTTTACATTTTGTAGGTGGAAAAAAGTTATTAAATTGCTTCCAATGTTTATAAATGCTACATCATGAGTTGAATCCGTAGCTTCCTCCTTTTTTAAGATGCTTAGCTTTCATTTGGCTGCGATAAATATAGATGTCTAGATTTATATATAAACTTGCAGATAAGTTTTTGATAGTATTCGCATTTTTGGGTGATTTCCTCTTTCCCTCACCCTTTTGTTCAGCCTTGTTCTTCACTGCATCTTGGCTTTTGTATCTTGCAGTGCATCATAGTTTTATTTAGAGGTGCCAAGTAATCTTTAAACATTGAAATGAAGCAGTCAGTAGATGGGAATAGTGATTTTTGATAGTTCAGAGCCATAAAGGAGGATAGGAAATACCCTCAGTGAAAGGAGTCGTAAATTAAATCAAGTTTTGTCGTTGTTTCTGAATGCCAGATTTCTGCTTGCTCTTACTTTCAGTAGAGTTCTGTTCAAGTTCAGCTCCTGCACAAGATGTGAAGCCTTGCTTTAGTGTGGTTTCCAGTATTGCGCAGTTTCCAGTCTAGGAAAATGTACAGAATGTTTTATAAAAGATGTGCTTGTTTTTCCTCTCTTTAAAGGTAGAAGAGATGGTGCAAAACCATATGACTTATTCTTTACAAGATGTAGGAGGAGATGCCAATTGGCAGCTCGTGGTAGAAGAAGGAGAAATGAAGGTAAATATTTGACCTTTTGTTTCTTTCTTTACTTAGCTCATATAAGATAGTGTGCTACTGACTCTTTTTTTTCCCCTTGGGTACTATCACTCACGAATTATGCTGTTGATAGTTCTCTTGAATAGCTGTGTTTAAGTTAGGGCTGGAGTCTACAAGAGCTATATCCACTCACCAGCTCAAACATGCAGCTTCCTATTTAACTCTTGCAAGAGCTTTACATTATTGCAGATTCCATTCTTGTTTTCTCATACTTAGAATTTGATATCAGTGTGACATATAAATTCATCTGAGATCTTATAGTTACGGTCTCATTTACTGCATTGTAAGTGTTTTTGTCAATCCTTGTGCCTAGTGGCAAGTAAGTTAGCTAAATCATTTGAGAAGAGACTCTCAAATACGGTCTCGCTGGCCTGTTATTGCAAAGTGCCATGTGAGAACATCTCCATGGGCAGTTACCAGGGAGCACTGACATGGCAAATTATTTGTGTTTGTCTTAGGGAAGTGTGTGGATGGGTTTTTCTTTGTGTTTTTTAGATGTTTAGATTTGATTGAATTAAAATACAAAGCATTTTGATTTTCTCATGTTGTGCATTTCTTTGCGTTTGACCACAGGTATACAGAAGAGAGGTGGAAGAAAATGGAATAGTTTTAGATCCTTTAAAGGCAACACATGCAGTTAAAGGTGTAACAGGGCATGAAGTTTGCCACTACTTCTGGAATGTTGATGTTCGTAATGACTGGGAAAGTAAGGAATTTTTTTTATCAGTAAGCACGTTCAATACTAATGTCTGTGCTCTTGTTTAATGATGGTTTTTTTTTTCTTTCAGCAACAATTGAGAACTTTCATGTCGTGGAAACTCTAGCTGACAATGCAATCATCATTTACCAGACACATAAGGTAGTAACACTTAAGCTATATATAGCATCTTACTGAGATTTGAGACCTATCTCAGTGTACTCAATGTTTATTCCAGTGTACTCTAGTATTTTAACAGCTTAAAATACAGTTTTAAACAATAGTTCAGAACTAGTTCTGTATTAAACTGAACTTTGTCAATTTGGGGAAATTTGTTTGAAAGTTATAACAACAGAGGAGAACTTGTTATTTGCTATATGTATCACAGCCAACAAAACAGGTTCATAAAAAACAGATCAGCACTGACTATGAGAAAGAAACAATTATACCACAGTGTTATATTTCCTTTGAGAAGGAAGTTAGCCATAATACATGCTGTTGGCATGGGCATTTGCATTACCAGTGGTATTTTTGCTGATAACACTTTAATGCACTTTTACTTCTAAGTATTTGCATTTTTTTTTCCCATCAGCCAGTCCTGGTGTGTGTTACCAAAATACTAATTCAAAGTGTAACCCAACAATTGTAACAGTTGGATTCAAGAAAAAAGGACTATGAAATATACAGATTTATGCTTGCTTAGTCTTGTCTTGCGTGGTGACAAGTATTAGTGTACTTGGACATGAACACCCATTGATTTCTTGGCACATGTCACCACTTGTACAGGTGCCTAAAGCTGCAATAGCAGACTTCTTTTATATAAAAAGAAGTTGTGGGAACTCTGCAGTGTTTTAAGACTGAAACAGAATTTATTCCCTTCCCTTTTCCCATCCAAATTATCAAAAAATGGCTTCTCTAACTTATTTTATTAGAACATTTAGTTCTGAATTATTCTAAATCGATAATATCAGGTTACTACATCTTAACTTCTGAAGTAATAGTTCTATAAACCTTTTTCTGTTTAAAAGGTTTTCCCTTTTTGTCTTGGTATGTATGTGTATGGAGACATTGTAGACACATCTACAATAGTTAAGTCACAAACTGAACTAGCAGGTACAAGTATTACCTAAAAGGCAAACCTGATGTTGAGAATGTTGTAGGGGAGCTGTCTCTGCTGAAAAATGTCAGATGCAGTTAGTCTTCTTGCCTTTCAGTGTTTTAAACTTTTGCTTTTAACTTTTTGAGGTCAAGTTTGTCTTAAAATAAAATACATCCATGTGACCCAGTGTGGATGTGTGCAACAACTGTGTTCTGTTTTAAATATGAAAATTGCCTTCAACTTAAACTTTTTTTACCTTAAAAATAACACAACTGACTTTATAATGCTTCTCTTACTTCCTTTGTCAGATAGTAGGCATGTACTTAATTTTCAAAAGTGGAAAAGCTTAGAATAAAGTGTCTTTCCACAGCGGGTGTGGCCAGCCTCTCAGCGGGACGTGCTGTATCTGTCTGCCATCAGGAAGATCCCCGCGTTCAGTGAAAATGACCCCGAGACGTGGATTGTGTGCAACTTCTCTGTGGAACACGACAGTGCTCCTGTAAGTGCTGTTTTCATTCTGTAAAGTTCTGCCTTCAAAATAACATTTTACTATTGCATGATGGTAATGCAATGCTAGAGTCAGGAGAAGATTTGAAGGAAAAGTAATACAGTTTGTTTTAATTAGTTCCTGCATAACCTAATTAAGTTGTTCTGAGCCAAAAGGTGCTTTGCCTTTTCTCAGCAGTCAGCTAATTGAGGTATTGCAGAAGAATAGAAGCAAAACTTCCAGAGTCCTGATAATACTTGAAAGAATTGAGGTTGCACTGATTGAATTCTATAAAATCTCTCTCTAGCATTTGCAGATAATGTGATAGGGATACGATCGTGTGACTTTGTGGATATGAGGTTTGTTAAATCTTGAGGTTACCCCGTTCTGCCTTGGTTCTGTCAGGCAGTAGTAGTGACTGTTTCTTGGGAATATTCTTGTGCTTATTTCTGTGCACTGCCTATTTATAACGGAAAAGTTACTGGCATTTGTAGATGCTAGGAGATGCTTGCACCTTTTCTTTCATGTTACATGCATGTAGTTCTAAAATGCAAGCTCTCTGAAATGTGACTTTTGGAGCCTCTTAGAATTCATATTAAATTGAAGTATTAATCATGCTGAAGTAAACTCTGGGGCTAGCTAACTATTTCATTCCTTGGCATCTGTGCAGCTAACTAAATCTTTCATTCTTTGGCAGCTAAATAACCGATGTGTCCGTGCAAAAATAAATGTTGCCATGATTTGTCAGACGCTAGTGAGCCCGCCGGAGGGGAACAAGGAAATCAGCAGAGACAATATCCTATGCAAGATTACATATGTAGCCAATGGTAAGTATATTTTTTGCAGTATGGCATTCCTTGAATATGCTGTCTGTGGTGACCTGAGTGCTGGCAAATAGAAGACTCGAGTTTCATTTTGAGCTTTTGCAGGTTCACATTTCTTCTTTATGTTCAGAAAGGCTTGAAATCATATGCTACAGCCATCAAAGGAATCCTTCCTTGTTTGGTATTCTAGGAGGAATAAATGAAAAGAGTGTGTATCTCGGTCCTTACACCCCTTTTGAGGGACTGGAGGAGGAGGAAATGCGTTGATTTGGCATAGCTTTTAGTTTCAGTAATACATTGCTTTTTAGTTCTTTGTTACTATAAAATTATTTTCCTAATTCAACCTGTTAGCTTGAAAAGCTGCTGGTTTAATAAAATTACACTTTTTGCCCCTAATGTTAAGAAGGTACAAATATATTTTGTATGAAAATGTTTGCAAGCTCTATAATCCAATCTTCATATTTAATTATTTCTTTAACTGATAGAATTCTTATAACTGATTACAAAGTTATCAAAAACAAACTGTAATGTTACTGTGTCTAATCTTTAGAAATGCACTGAAAATTGAATATTTGTAGTATATTGAATTGAATAAATAGTAAAAATTCCTAAGGGTAGCTAGCTGCTTATTTTGGTTAACCACCTAGTTAACCACCGGTCTGAACAATTACTCTCATGGCTCCAATGACCATTTCCCTTGAGCAGCAGTGATATAACTTGTTATAAATCCTGCATAAATAACATTGTATGATGTTAAACTGCTGCTTTGGTAAGCTACTTTGGGTTCTATTTAAATGTTTCCAAATTGTGAGGGAAGAGGTTTAGAGGTTTAATTTCTTAACCTTTTTTTTAATCTGAAAAAAAGCTTTCATTGACGAGTCAAATTTTGAACATGGTTATGAGAGATGTGGAACTTTGAGAGCCTACTTGACCTATGAATCTGAACATATATTAGAACCTCTCCAAATTCTGTTTAAAATGTTTTACGAATCTGTAGAATACTTTCATGAAGCAATTTTGCAATGATTGCTGTGAAGCTGAAAAACAATGTTGACTTTTTTTAAGTAGTAATTCAAATCTTTTTATTTCTTAAAAGAATTTAGGGAATATGTCTTTCAGTTTGGGCAAACTCTGAAGACCTGCAACACAATATTTTTTTAATGTTTTCTAAATAGTGGCACTGTGAAAATGGACTAAACTTGAGTTGTAAAATAGTTGGAAGTGGAAGTGTTACAAGATGCAAAGATATTATTTAAAGGAGAAAAAAAAAAAACCCTCCTGCTGCATATTTTTTGCTGTTACTCCAGAAAAGAAATTGCAAGAATTAAGTTATTTTTCTTTCCATCTTATATGGGTTTTTTTTGTCTCACTATGTGTGTCCCCTACTGTTCTTAGCTGTACAACCTGAAGGCTGCCCTGCTTTTCAGGTGGTGCCTGAGCCTGTGTGGGAGCAGTCAGCCTCTCCGGTATCATCTCAGGCTTGGCAGGAGTAGGAATCTGACATCACGTATTCTTACTGTTTACCTGTTGATTTGCCCATTCGTGTGGTTTGTGGAATTCAATTTGAATCAAGTTTAATAATTGCTTCTAGTGAACCCAGGAGGATGGGCGCCAGCATCAGTGTTACGGGCAGTGGCAAAACGAGAATATCCCAAGTTCTTGAAGCGTTTTACGTCCTATGTGCAGGAGAAGACAGCAGGAAAGCCCATTTTGTTCTAGTACTAGCAGGTATGCACTCTTTTCTTCACTGCTGTAAATACTGCAGGCCGAATAAAGGAATACAAACTAGAAATGTCATATCACCATTTGCATGAATTCAGAGCATATTTTCAATTTTGTGGTCAGACATGTGAAAATATTGTTAGCTCCAAAGCATTCTTTTATATTAACAGAAAATTCTGATTTTGGATTTTGATTGATAGTGGAGACTTTCTGACAGAGAATTACTAGAGTATTTAGAATACAATCTTAAATTTTCAGTCTTTCTGGTGGACCTAATAAAAGGAACTTACAGCTGCTTTCTGAAGTTTGTGGATGTATTTTAACTGTGTGTCATTGGACTAATCAAAATTAATTTAATATTTAAATAAAAAATGATGAGATTAGAAAGGCATTTCCCCACCACCTGGTGGTGGCAGGGATCTGAGTTTGTCCAAAGTGAGCCTTTGTGATCAGTGAGTCTCTGCCTTTTTTAGCAGTATGTTAGCAGTATTGTTTCCACCTGTAGTGTCCAAGCACTGAGATGCAGCTGCACAGTAGTATCTGGTAGTTCTAATACTAGAGCATCGTCTGAAAATGTCTTTTGACCCCTTTTTTTGGTGCATGACTTCAGGCTTCCTGTTTTTTAGGTTCTATTTAGTAGGTCAAACTCTGAAAGTCTTAGTCATTTGATCTTTCCAGAACAGGTATCCCCAAAATACGTTTCTCATTTTTAATTGTGTATTGTTAGAGAACTAGTGTAGGTGAACCATTAAGAACTGAACTATCTCGAATGAGCTGGCAGTTCAGATACAGTTGTAATGTTCCTAAATGATATATGGGATTTAGCAATTTCTTGCCACTTGTTTTCTTATTTATGGTGAAAATTCCTTTTCTTTGCCTTTCTGCAGTGATTGGCGCAAGACTGGGTGAGCATTCCGCGTTGGAGAAGTAACCATGTATAGAGCACTCCATGCAGGAACGAAGGATCTACAGTCTTTCTATGGCCCAACTTCTAGGCTTTGTATACCGAAGTGAAGAAACGTTGCAACACCATGAGGCTGAATATTTAACACTATCTCTCTCCTGCTAATTTTCTTGCTGAATCAGTGTGTAATTATAAATACATGTATTGATAACATGTATATGGCTCTATTTTTATTTGCTTGCTTGAAAAGAGGAAGGACGTACAACTTTGAATCACCAACTTGGGTTACTGCTTTAATTTTAAACAACTTGCAAAATTTTACTGATAACCCTTCCTAAGATACTTGAGCAGATTTTGTGCATGTCTAAAAAGCACAAGAGACACATGCACATATAGCATACTGTATGTGCTTTATGTGCACAAAAATCTGTGGTATTTGCTGGAGGAGGAATTCAGTAAAGCCTAGGTGAGTTACTGGCAGATTTTGTTTTGCTTTGTATAATCATAGTTCATTGCTGCTAGTTTCTATAATGAATCATCTTGTTATGTAAAATGTCAGTTAATAACTGAGGGCTGTCAATATCCTGATGACTTTGCCTTTTCTATTGTCTTACTCTTATGAAGACCGCCAGGTCTGAAGGAGTAAGAGTGTGAAAAGCTTTATTTTTTTCCAGATATCTTTATATTTCTATTGTATTTTTCAGTTATGTAATGTGCTACAGATTTTTGTTATTAAACATGATCCAGAAATTTCTAGGTAGATTCTGTATGAGAGAGCATGAAAGCTCAAGTCATCTGTCCATGCTCCATGTGGACTGCTTTCTTGCATGATACCCAGGGCTTTTCTGAAGCTGTGAGAAAGGTACACTATAGTATTTATTGAAGCAATCTGGACTACATAGGACCACATTCCCAGTCTGGAAATGAGGATGAGTACATTTTCTTATCCTGCATGTTTTTTCCCCTCACCTTAAAGCCATGCCATGAGGTTCATGTAGAAAATGTGAGTCACTTTAATACTTACCTCTTGGATCGAATATCCAGCAGAGCTGTGAGGATACATAGTTCTTACTGGAAAGTTCCCCTTGGTTGCTGTGAGAATTGGAAAGTCGGATATTTTGTCTGCCTTTGATTCTGGAGATGCTCATTAGGAGAGAACTGTGGCAGATTGGTACTCACTTTGGAGATATTTTTATTCTTGTCCTGTAGTTGGAGACTATTCAGAGACTGCCACGTGTTTCGCTAACGTATATATCTCGAAATAGAAGATTCAGATATATTTTTTTTCAAAAGAAAGCTGAAAGTCTTATTTGATATATTATAGTAGGTGCCTGAAGGTAAATACAAGATAGTTATTTAATGAAGATTTGGCAAATAATTAAATGCTATCTGCACAATGTTGAGAGAGGAAAGAAAAAAAAAACTTTTATCTGCTCATTTTCTCTGTGGAGATGAAAGCATACATAACATATTAGACATGCACGCAGGTTTCATGCTCCATAACTCTTCCTTTATTTGCCTTTCTCTAATGGTGTGCATGGAATATGCCTTATTACAGAATTATTCTGTTGATTTGAATATGTAGAAAAGTGCCTATATGGTAATGCTAGTAAGGCAAATAAGATGAAAATTTGTACATGTTTACTATATCACCAGTGAGCATTTTATATAGAGATGTTTTAAAACAACGACAACAACAAAAAAATTACCTCAAATGTACTTCATCTTTTTACAATCAATCAAACGATGGTTCATTCACCATGGCCACTGATGGGAACTTCAAAAAAAAAAAAAAAAAA